TGCACCACGCACATCTCCACAGCCTGCACCAAGCACACCTCCACAGCCTGCACCAAGCACACCTCCACAGCCTGCACCAAGCACACCACCACAGCCTGCACCAAGCACACCTCCACAGCCTGCACCACGCACATCTCCACAGCCTGCACCAAGCACACCACCACAGCCTGCACCACGCACATCTCCACAGCCTGCACCAAGCACACCTCCACAGCCTGCACCAAGCACACCTCCACAGCCTGCACCAAGCACACCTCCACAGCCTGCACCAAGCACACCTCCACAGCCTGCACCAAGCACACCTCCACAGCCTGCACAAGCACACCTCCACAGCCTGCACCAAGCACACCTCCACAGCCTGCACCACGCACATCTCCACAGCCTGCACCAAGCACACCTCCACAGCCTGCACCACGCACATCTCCACAGCCTGCACCAAGCACACCTCCACAGCCTGCACCAAGCACATCTCCACAGCCTGCACCAAGCACACCACCACAGCCTGCACCAAGCACACCACCACAGCCTGCACCAAGCACACCTCCACAGCCTGCACCACGCACATCTCCACAGCCTGCACCAAGCACACCACCACAGCCTGCACCAAGCACACCTCCACAGCCTGCACCAAGCACATCTCCACAGCCTGCACCACGCACATCCCCACAGCCTGCACCAAGCACACTTCCACAGCCTGCACCAAGCACATCTCCACAGCCTGCACCAAGCACACTTCCACAGCCTGCACCAAGCACATCTCCACAGCCTGCACCAAGCACATCTCCACAGCCTGCACCAAGCACATCTCCACAGCCTGCACCAAGCACACCATCTATACAAGTCATCTATATACTATAGACATAGATAAAAATATCCTCATTGAAAACAACGTACTGGAGTGAACGATATGGAAGAAAATGCAAGATTGAACCAGTGAAGAGCAGAGGTGCCATAGGCACAATCAGAGAACACTGTATAAACATCAGAGGTCCAGTGAAGTGCAGGGGTGCCATAGGCACAATCAGAGAACACTATATAAACATCAGAGGTCCAGTGAAGTGCAGGGGTGCCATAGGCACAATCAGAGAAAACTGCATAAACATCAGAGGTCCAGTGAAGAGCAGAGGTGCCATAGGCACAATCAGAGAACACTGTATAAACATCAGAGGTCCAGTGAAGAGCAGGGGTGCCATAGGCACAGAGAACACTGTATAAACATCAGAGGTCCAGTGAAGAGCAGGGGTGCCATAGGCACAATCAGAGAACACTGTATAAACATCAGAGGTCCACTGAAGAGCAGAGGTGCCATAGGCACAATCAGAGAACACTGTACAAACATCAGAGGTCCGCGGTTGTTCAAAGTCCTCCCAGCGAGCATGAGAAATATTGCCGGAACAACCGTGGACATCTTCAAGAGGAAACTAGATAGTTTCCTCCAAGGAGTGCCGGACCAACCGGGCTGTGATTCATAGGTCAGGCTGCGAGCATACCTGTTGAGGGTTTCCGGAGTTTTTCTACCCCCAGAGGCAAGGCTCGACTTGTGATAAGTTTGGTCCACCAGGCTGTTGCTGGGAGCGGCCCGCAGGCCCACATACCCACCACAGCCCGGTTGGTCCACCAGACTGTTGGTGGGAGCGGCCCGCAGGCCCACATACCCACCACAGCCCGGTTGGTCCACCAGACTGTTGCTGGGAGCGGCCCGCAGGCCCACATACCCACCACAGCCCGGTTGGTCCACCAGACTGTTGCTGGGAGCGGCCCGCAGGCCCACATACCCACCACAGCCCGGTTGGTCCACCAGGCTGTTGCTGGGAGCGGCCCGCAGGCCCACATACCCACCACAGCCCGGTTGGTCCACCAGACTGTTGGTGGGAGCGGCCCACATACCCACCACAGCCAGGCTAAGCTTGCACTCTACTGGCGGGTGGTGAATGTTGAGAGTTTGTAAGGTTGTTGACGTGTTTCACAGTGTGTGGATGTTCACTGATCAATGCTTCTCATCACCCATATGTGCACACGGCACGACTTGTGTACATGTTGTGACACTTCAGAGTGGGGGGGGAGGTGAGGGACGGTGGGGGGGGGGGAGGTGAGGGACGGTGGGGGGGGGGGGAGGTGAGGGACGGTGGGGGGGGGGGGAGGTGAGGGACGGTGGGGGGGGGGGGGGGAGGTGAGGGACGGTGGGGGGGGGGGGAGGTGAGGGACGGGGGGGGGGGAGGTGAGGGACGGTGGGGGGGGGAGGGTGAGGGACGGTGGGGGGGGGGGGAGGTGAGGGACGGTGGGGGGGGGGAGGTGAGGGACGGTGGGGGGGGGGAGGTGAGGGACGGTGGGGGGGGGGAGGTGAGGGACGGTGGGGGGGGGGGAGGTGAGGGACGGTGGGGGGGGGGGAGGTGAGGGACGGTGGGGGGGGGGGAGGTGAGGGACGGTGGGGGGGGAGGTGAGGGACGGTGGGGGGGGGAGGTGAGGGACGGTGGGGGGGGGAGGTGAGGGACGGTGGGGGGGGGGAGGTGAGGGACGGTGGGGGGGGGAGGTGAGGGACGGTGGGGGGGGGGAGGTGAGGGACGGTGGGGGGGAGGTGAGGGACGGTGGGGGGGAGGTGAGGGACGGTGGGGGGGGAGGTGAGGGACGGTGGGGGGGGAGGTGAGGGACGGTGGGGGGGGTGAGGGAGGGACGGTGGGGGGGAGGTGAGGGACGGTGGGGGGGGGGGGAGGTGAGGGACGGTGGGGGGGAGGTGAGGGACGGTGGGGGGGGAGGTGAGGGACGGTGGGGGGGAGGTGAGGACGGTGGGGGGGGAGGTGAGGGACGGTGGGGGGGGGGGAGGTGAGGGACGGTGGGGGGGGGAGGTGAGGGACGGTGGGGGGGGGGAGGTGAGGGACGGTGGGGGGGGGGAGGTGAGGGACGGTGGGGGGGGGAGGTGAGGGACGGTGGGGGGGGGAGGTGAGGGACGGTGGGGGGGGGGAGGTGAGGGACGGTGGGGGGGAGGTGAGGGACGGGTGGAGGAGACGGGTGGGGGCCGGGGGGGGGTGAGGGACGGTGGGGGGGGAGGTGAGGGACGGTGGGGGGGGGAGGTGAGGGACGGGTGGAGGAGACGGGTGGGGGCCGGGGGGGGGGGTGAGGGACGGTGAGGGGGGGGGGAGGTGAGGGACGGTGGGGGGGGGAGGTGAGGGACGGTGGGGGGGGGGAGGTGAGGGACGGTGGGGGGGGAGGTGTGGGACGGTGAGGGGGGGGGAGGTGAGGGACGGTGGGGGGGGGGGGGAGGTGAGGGACGGTGGGGGGGAGGTGAGGGACGGTGGGGGGGAGGTGTGGGACGGTGGGGGGGGGGAGGTGTGGGACGGTGGGGGGGGAGGTGAGGGACGGTGGGGGGGGGGGAGGTGAGGGACGGTGGGGGGGGGAGGTGAGGGACGGTGGGGGGGGAGGTGAGGGACGGTGGGGGGGGAGGTGTGGGACGGTGGGGGGGGGAGGTGTGGGACGGTGGGGGGGGAGGTGAGGGACGGTGGGGGGGGGGAGGTGAGGGACGGGTGGAGGAGACGGGTGGGGGGCCGGGGGGGGGTGAGGAGGGGAATAATAGGATATAGAGGATAACGAGGACACTATGTGAGGGTACAACACTACAGCTGCCGCCCGCCACACGCTGCCTCACATCCACACCACACGCTGCGTCCTGAGTGCTGGGTAAAGGTGGTGGGTGAGGGTGGTGGGTGAGTTGGAGGAGGGTAGGTAAGTGAAGATGGACACATGAAGGTGGGTGCGGGTGGTGGGTGCGGGTGGTGGGTGCGGGTGGTGGGTGAAGGTGGTGGGTGCGGGTGGTGGGTGAGTGGGAGGGAGGGTGGGTAAGTGATGATGGACACATGAAGGTGGGTGAGGGAGGTGGGTGACCAGCGGTTGGATGAGTGGGCGAGTAAGCCAGTTCAAGAAATTACAGGCCACAAGTAGATGAAATTGTGAGCAATTGGGTTGGATGAGATGAGAGGAGAGGGAGGAGCGGCTCCGTACACCGTACACCATCACAACAGTAGCTCTCATAACAGCACCTTGTACCTCCAGTTATTGACGTGCACTGTACCACCACTGTAGTACACCGTACACCATCACAACAGTAGCTCTCATAACAGCACCTTGTACTCCTGTTATTGACGTGCACTGTACCTCCACTGTAGTACACCGTACACCATCACAACAGTAGCTCTCATAACAGCACCTTGTACCTCCAGTTATTGACGTGCACTGTACCACCACTGTAGTACACCGTACACCATCACAACAGTAGCTCTCATAACAGCACCTTGTACCTCCAGTTATTGACGTGCACTGTACCACCACTGTAGTACACCGTACACCATCACAACAGTAGCTCTCATAACAGCACCTTGTACCTCCAGTTATTGACGTGCACTGTACCACCACTGTAGTACACCGTACACCATCACAACAGTAGCTCTCATAACAGCACCTTGTACCTCCAGTTATTGACGTGCACTGTACCACCACTGTAGTACAACCGTACACCATCACAACAGTAGCTCTCATAACAGCACCTTGTACCTCCAGTTATTGACGTGCACTGTACCACCACTGTAGTACACCGTACACCATCACAACAGTAGCTCTCATAACAGCACCTTGTACCTCCTGTTATTGACGTGCACTGTACCTCCACTGGACGTCCTGGGTTGTTCTACTGTGGCCACACTTACTGGTCATAACTTCCTCTACCACACTACCACAAGCACACCCACCACCTCCACTACAACCACCACCACCACTACAACCACCACCATCACCAGCAGCAGCAGCAGCAGTACCCTGGTGACCTTGGCCTTGAACACATTGACTGTCTCCCCCAACATCCCGTCTCCCCATCCCCCCAAATCCCTATTACAACCCCCCCTCCCCCTCCCCCCCTCTCCTCCAACCATCATTACCTCAAGAGTCCGTCCATCGCCCCCGACCCCCCCTCTCCCTCACCTCCCCTCCCTCAACCCACACCCCACCCCCTCCCACAACAGTATTCGGGGCGGAGGGAGGGAGGGAGAGTGGTGGTGGTGCCACAAAACTTATCACAACACAAGAGACAACCTGCCAATGGAACAAGTTGCACTAATGCAGTAAGTCAAGTTGGAGCACTCAAGTGTTAAGGTGAGGGATGGTAGGAAGGTGCGGTAAACACCCACAACAGTTTAAATGTACACGCACCCGTCACCTGAGGTACTACGCGGCTCCACACCCACTCTGCCTTACCTGGAACAAGAGAAAAGTCATCACATTATAGTGCTTCACAAACCACAACTTACCAACACTTAACATACAAACATTACTCACTAAACATACACCAAATACCCTATCACATCACCCAATTGGGCTCTCCATTAAGGCAGTGTCTCGGATCATCCTCGACGCAGGTTCGAATCCTCGGCACGGCCCTTGTGGATTTGTTCACCTTCTAGTGTTTCCAGGGATTACTATCCGTGCGGCCCGGTCTCCTGAGTGGTGGTTTAGTCAACCTGGCTCTTACTGCCAGGTCTATTGCGCTCCATAGTCTATTGTGAATGTATTGTGTATGCAAGTCTCCATTTAAGTTCTGGGTAGTTACCACAGGCAAGTGTAGGGCGTGGGTAGTGGTTTACTGACCACTGTTTTGTGTGCTAATGGCTTGGTGTACACCAGTCTGGTGGTGTACACCAGTCTGGTGGTGTGTGGTGGTGTACACCAGTCTGGTGGTGTGTGGTGTACACCAGTCTGGTGGTGTGTGTGTGTGTGGTGTACACCAGTCTGGTGGTGTGTGGTGTACACCAGTCTGGTGGTGTGTGTGTGTGTGGTGTACACCAGTCTGGTGGTGTGTGGTGTACACCAGTCTGGTG